GTACCTGACCGGGCATGACTTCACCATTGATGCCGCTAATGTTGATCCCTGCATAAAGGCAGGCTTTGTAATGGGCATCAACAATGTCACGCCCAAAAGACTTGTCAGCACCAGCAGAACAATAGTAAGGCCCCTGGCAAGACAAACCATTTTTTGTTAGACCAAGGCTAAGCATCTGAGTTTTCTGTAAACAATAGTGAAGCTTAACGAGAAAACAAAAATTCAAAGCATAAACCCAATTATTGTAGGTAGAAGCGGAACATAGAATGCAGAAAAATGAAAATATATTAGGAATATACATGCAAAGTTAAACAGGAAACTAATGATAAATACAACTTATATAAATCACAATATGTACAATTTGAAAAAAACTAAAAACAAAAAAAAAAGCAAGAAATAAGGAGAGCAGTTTCTAATTACCTACACTCAGTTCCTGTTTCGAAAGCTGCTGAGAGCATCCAATATTTAAAATGTACAACAGACATGATAAATAGCTCACTAGAACTTAATATGAACATATAATAGAGTTATATATGCCAGTCTAATTAAATCGCAACTAATAATAATTCAAATCAAATTATCCAAAGTTATGGCAAAGGGGAATCATTGGGGTTATCATAGTAAATATCAAAAGCGCATAGTATATAACATCAATGTCTGTGTGATATGAAAAATCACTGGGAATTTCCATTTATAAAATTATGAACACAAGCATATCCAATATGAGCAAAAGATAAGAAGAACTAGAGGCTAAAGGAGGGAAAAAATATCAATGTGAATTTTAAAGGAAGCCTCTAGCATGACACCACAAACAATTTCCGTCACAAGCAAGCAAATGAAGCAACAATGAAGAAGGTATGAATTCAGCAATTTGCCAAAAAAAAAGATAGGCATGAGCCAATTATATCACCATATACACACGAAAGATTAATTAAATGAACTAGAACCTAAACACAAACCACTACTCATACCTGAGGACCCGGGAAGCCACCAACGGGCCAGCCAAGAGGCCATTTGACATCCTTTTGGAGGAGGGTGTATTCTTGCTCAATTCCATACCTATTTATTTATAAGTCAAACTTACATAAATCAAACTCTCGCCATAGATTAAGAAATTTGACACAGAATCATATAAAGAGGAGAACAGAATTTATCACCATGGTACTTCAGCAACTACATCTGGATGGCTAAAAATCTTAGCTGCTTTAGCTCTATGGTTTGTAGGGATTGGTTCCCCAGCCGGTGTGTAACAATCGCACATAACCTACATGTAAAGAAAACTTCAGTGAATTGTGGAAAAGGAGTAAACAAGAGAGCATAAAATTAAAACTCCTAGTACTTCCAGAATTAATGTTCAAAATAAGAAAATAATGGTAATATATGTTATGCAATAAAAGAACAATATGCTAAAAACAGTTTTATGTAACACATGGATGAGATCAAATTATACTGCAAACCATATATCCATGTTTTCTTGGTATAAGACCGAATTCACTTCGTGAGCCATGAAGGGACAAATGACGCAAGAAATTTCTGAAATTGAAAACTTGTAATCAACTTGACTGATCAAATTTATGATGCTAAATTCATACCACGTACTACCAAGATTTCAAAATGCAAATAAACATACAGATAACATAAAGCAAAAGATGCAACGCTGGTAATGAAACTAAGAGGGAGATAAAAACTCAAGGACTATAGCAGCCAAATGTGAAGAAAAGGACTTACAAGAATATTGTTCCCCCTCCTGAAAGGATCCTTGAAAATGGCTTGTGGGCTATTCATAAAAGTAAATACATAAGTCACATAAATATGGACGAGGATATTTGGAATATATTAAAACCAACAAGAGTTACAAATTTAATAACCAAATAACTTACTATAAAATCACTTCACTGTCCTCTCCTGGAGCTTGGCCAGTGCTTGAACCATCATAGTTCCACTTTGGAAGCTTACTAGGATCGCTAACCGGTCCTGAAAGCGTCTGCTCAAATAAAACCAAAACTAAAAATTTTAGCATGTAATACTTACAGAAAAGAAGCAATAATCAAATAGAAAACCAATAGAACAACCAATACTAAGAAGATCAAAGTATTTAAAAAAATAAAAATAAAAAATAAAAAAATACTAAGAATCTTACCCTTGCTTTGCTCCGAATGTCCATACCACTTCCTCCGATCCTGTTGGCAAATAGAAAGCAGATTAAATTATATAAAAATAATATTTTCGAGAAATCAGATCTCGATCAATAAGAAAATTAGATAAATAAAGATGAAAGACCCTTGAGTGGCTCGAAACTAAGAAGGATCAAATGATTGTCCTGTACTGTTAAGATTAAAAACCGAATATATTTTTACATCCAAAAGAAAACCCCCCCAGATACATCATCAAAATATACACACGCAAAAAGAAAACCCATAGCAAAATAATAACAACAACCCCATGAAAATCAAATCATTCATCAAAATATCACAAAAAGGAAAACCCATCTAGCAAAATAATAATAATAACCCCATAAAAATCAAATCATTCATCAACACATCACAAAACTGAGCACTAAAGATCAGAACTAAATAACATAAAATTTGAAATAAATCTCTAATGCAAACATCAACACCAGAGCTATAAATGGGTTAATAAGCAGAAGCAAAGAAAATATCAAGAGAAATATCTACTTCACCAAACTTCATAACAACAACCAAAGTCAACACCATCCAAAAGTAATGATTACCCATAAACTCTAATGATCAAAAAGCAAATCTACCATAAACTCAAACAAAAAACAAAACAAACCCATAAATAAAAATTAGTAAAAACCCATTAAAATCAAACCTTTCATCAACATATCACTAAATTAATCAAACGGAAAATAAAAAGCCAGAGAGAGAATTGATCGAACCAAATGTATTCAGCAATGATCTTTTCAGTGGACTCAGAGAGATTGAGGTTGACGAGATCTGAGAGGAGCGACATGGCTACAACAAGAACCAACGAGAGAACCACAAAGAATTTGAAAGGAGAAGAGAAATAATGAGAGTGAGGAGAAAACGGGAGGATAGCGAGAGTTTATATAAGCAAGGGGTTGCTTAGAATCCTGATTCCTTGGATATTGATAAAAAAGAGAAAGGGGGGAGTTTTTTTTAATTTGGATTAAAATAAAGAAAGTTGAAATTTAGAACAAATTGGGTATTTTTTTAATAAAATGAATAGAAAATATTAAAACTACCGGAGAAATTGTGGATAAAGTTTAATCAAATTGGACATCTATTTACACTGATTTCTCTGATATTATTCTATGTAGTGCAGATAACTCTAATCATCTATGAATGACAATTATCATCCTCGCAATTATTTTAATAGCAGTGAACACCCTTCATTTAGGGAAAATGGCTAAATTGTTATATTTACTAGAGGTCTGGTGACATGTTGGTATATTTTTTTTTTATTTTGTTATATTGGTATAAGATTTTAGCTCCGGCGTCATATAGGCCTTAAGTTTGGCCGGAGTCAATTTTCCGGCCATTATTCTCACACGAGAGCTCACGTGACTCCGACGTGGCCTTGACGTGGACTCCAGCGTGACGGGTCGTTGGGATGAATAAATTTCAGCAAAATGGGGGTTTATATCTCTGATTAGAGCTTCGATCTTCTTCTTCCTCCTTCTTACTCCATCTTCTTCTTCTTACTCCATCTTCTTCTTCCTCCTAGGGTTAGTCTTCTTCTTCTTACTCCATCTTCTTCTTCCTCCTAGGGTTAGGGTTAGGTTCAGTGGGAGTTAAATTAGTGATGGATTCTTCTTCCTCCTAGGGTTAGGGTTAGGTTCAGTGGGAGTTAAATTAGTGATGGATTCTTCATCTTCAAGCTATCGCTCAAGATCAGTGTCAAGCACGAGCATGGGAAGAAGCAAGCAAGGGTTCAATGGAATAAAAGCTATACGACAGTGGAATGATCTAGCAAAGCAATATGGGGTGAATGTTTGTAATTGTGGTTTGGATTGCGAATATTTTACTTCTATGACTGATGAAAATCCAGAACGGAGGTTCTACAAATGCCGCAATCAGCATGTAAATTAAATTTACTTCCTTATTTGTTGCAGTAATCAACTGCAATTTTTACTTGGAAGTTGTAATTTTTTATGCATCTCACTTGATCATGGTCTCCTTTGATTTTTGAGTAACGATAGGCTGGTGGTTGTGGCATTTGGAAATGGATTGACAAATCAATGTGTAGTGTTGGATGTTAATTGTTTCCACTTCTAAGAGAGGAGATTAATGATTTGAGGAATACGTTGCTGTTGAAGGAGGAATTACTTCAAAGATGTGAAAATCAGCTAAGAGGATGCAATGAGGACATTTACAAGCTTAAAGAGGATGTCGAATTGTCTCAACATGATGCTGCTTCTTGTTTGGAAGAAGTGCAGAAAATGATGAAAGAAAGTTTAGAATTGCACGAAAAGATTGCAGAAGAAAAAAGGATTATTAAGTTTATGTTGTTATTAGGAATGTTTACACTCTGTTTAATTCTGTATGTTGTAATGTGAAGATGGTTGTAATGTGAAAGTAGTTGTGATGTGAATAAAGCACTGTATTTTGATAGATTGGTATATTGAACTCCTAATGTGTGTTGTTGATTGTGCATGAATAAATGAACTTTCTTAGTTGTTATATACAGGCATGAATGCACATGAACTGGTGCAATGACTTGTATAACCAAATGTACATGACCTAGTTCAACGACATGAATTCAATGGTACCTGTTTGACCCATATTGCACATGACCTGGTTCAATGATGTCAACAAAGGGATCGACATGAAGTAGACATATAAACTTTAAACATGCCAAACAAATGAACATCCAGAATACCAAATGTATTAGGTAGAATATTGCATATTGTAACAGAACTTTATCACATAACATAACACAAAATACCAACTGCTTGTTGTAACAGAACTTTATCACATAACATAACACAAAATACTAAATAGAACATGCCCAGATAGAACTGATCAACACATCTAAACACAAAATACCAAATAACAACTTTGTCCCAAAATACAATAACCAGACAGTAATAACTTTGTCCCAAAATAACATTAATCAGACATTAACAACTTTGTCTACTGCAGTTAATTACACTCTCATTCCTAAGAGGGTGCACTCTGTGAGGATGGAGCATTAGGTATCAAATATATCATATTTACTTGACTATCACCAGGAGCTCTAAATGCCATTTCCCCTTGTGGTCCTTGCCACAAACTAAACCCTTCTGGCATTCGTAATTGACCAGCACCACCTCTCCCTCTACCTCTTCCTCTTCCTGTCCTTCTCCCTCCCCCTCCTCTACCTCTTCCTGCCTCAGCGCTGGTTGTTGGAGCTTTGCTTCTTCTTCCAAGGATAATGGATGTTGACGTTGGAGCATTGCTTGGAGGCATGTCATCACATCTAATTTTGTTCAGGCTTTCCTTTGGTCTCCCCTTTTTCCTCACTTAAGATGGTCATTCATCAACTCTTGTTCCTTGTGATTCCTACAAGATGGATCAGGTAAGGCTTAAGTTGTTTAAAGAACACAAAATACAGCTGCAAAGAAAAATAAGCTTACTTGTGTAGCTTGTTGCCTTGGTGGTGCAGTGAGGCACTTTCTCCGTGTTTGTTCACTTGATTCACAATGGGTGCATCGTCCTTGCACACCTTGCCTTGATGCCTTAAATTGATTTCTTGGACCTTCTGAAGGGTCCCTCCTTCTAGCATGTTTGGGCCTCCTCATTGGCTTCCTAATACTGTGAGGAGGCAACACAGATCCCTCCTGTTGAAGGTCCCAAAATTTGGTACCTTGCACAGGGTTTAACAAGCTCTCATAAGCATTTTTGTAAGCTTCACTTTTGTACCAATGAGCAACAAAATCTCCTGGATTCTTTCTCATGAACAATATTGCACTAATGGCATGGGGACATGGAATTCCAGTCAAGTCACAAACCCTACAAGAACAGGTATTTTCACCCAAGTTAACCTTGCCTTGATGCCTTAAATTGATTTCTTGGACCTTCTGAAGGGTCCCTCCTTCTAGCATGTTTGGGCCTCCTCATTGGCTTCCTAATACTGTGAGGAGGCAACACAGATCCCTCCTGTTGAAGGTCCCAAATTTTGGTACCTTGCACAGGGTTTAACAAGCTCTCATAAGCATTTCTGTAAGCTTCACTTTTGTACTAATGAGTAACAAAATCTTCTGGATTCTTCCTTATGAACAATATTGCACTAATGGTATAGGGACATGGAATTCCAGTCAAGTCCCAAACCCTACAAGAACATGTATTTTCACCCAAGTTAACCTCATGGCTAATCCCTCTGTGATGTATCTCAAATCCACTGTAGTCATTTGTTCCCGACCAATGTGTTTGACAATGCAATTGTTCTTGATATCCCTCTTTGATTTCCTTGCTTATTCTAGGGGCAATCTCACCCAAAAATTACGTAATCAACTTCCTTTTTATCTGCATCCTATTCATCATGGCAAGTCTAATGTCTTCTAGCATAGAAATTATTAGCTTGTATCTTGCAAGAAGGATGAATGAGTTGAAGGTTTCGGACATATTGTTGTCAACACTATCACATTGGCTTGTATCTTGCAAGAAGGATGAATGAGTTGAAGGTTTCGGACATATTGTTGTCAACACTATCACATTGGCTATGACATTTAAAATGGGACTTACAAGTTGAAGGTTTCGGACATATTGTTGTCAACACTATCACATTGGCTATGACATTTAAAATGGGACTTACAGAAGGTGTGAGGATCTCTTGCCATGAAGTCGTCATATGCCCTTTGAGAGTAATCCTTGAGTTTGCCAGCCTCTATTGCAAAATCCCCCATGGAGGTTGCCTTCACACAATACCAAAAATGTTTTTGAAGAGTTCTTCCAGTATGTGCTTTCCTCTAATTGGAATAAATGTGTCTTGCACATTGCCTATGCTCCACTTAGGGCCAAACTGTATGTATAGCTGGAACTAAACCCTGGTTAAACAAAAAAATATGCACATATATGTAAACATGTAGCCCAGATAGAGATTAAATTGAATATGACATGAAATTGATCCTTACCTTTTGTTGGTCTAAAATTATTGTCCATCCCTCTCCCTCTCCCATGTTGAGATCATTGGATAAGATTCTCATAAACCATTCCCAAGAGCTCCTTGTTTCACCATCCACAACAGCCCACGCAATTAGCCACATCTGATTATTGCCGTCTTTCCCCACGGCACTTAGCAATTGCCCACCACATGCATGTTTAAGAAAGCACCCATCAAGTCAAAATATAGGTCTATAATTGTTGGCGAACCCCCTTTTCATGGCTGAGAATACAAGAATGAATTCAGTATGGCCTAAAAAACCTGCACATACAAGCTTTGATAAAACTTCAAAATTTTCTAACAAACACTTGAACTTTACCTGCAAAGCACACGTAGAATCTTTGAAAGACTCCTGATTCTGATGAGTCACTTTGGTCTGTGACCTTCAGAATGCACGTACTTTCAACATTACTTCTTAAGAGCTCTCTCATGTATGGTTTTAACAAGCCATATTGCTTCTTAAACAAACCATCTACTGCATTCAAATGCCTACTCTTTGCCCTCCTACATTTCCTTAAATCCGCTATGATCTCATATTGTTTTTGTATTTCTGCTTTCATGTCTTTGGGCTTGAACTTAGGATCCCTCAAAACTATGATCTCATATTGTTTTTGTATTTCTGCTTTCATGTCTTTGGGCTTGAACTTAGGATCCCTCAAAAAATTATCAATAAATTTTCCTGCAAGCCAACCTTCAGTGATTAGCCTATTCTTGAATGTCCTGCTACAAGTATGATAAGGGTGCATACTATTAATTTTCCAAGCACTAGCATCATCACGACATGGTGTAGCATTTAGCTGCCAATGACACTCGGTTTACAAGCTTACCGAAAACTCTCACACAACAAACACTATGCAATCATACTTTACACACTAAGTGTAGGAACCTAGCCCGTGTCCTCCTCCTCAAGTGCTCGGATGTAACCTCTCCCTAGGTTCGTCAACCGACGCC